GCGCGACAAATAGATGAATAACTCAATAACTCAATATCACGCCAACCGGTTTCGATGATTATTGTTTTTAGTGTATGTTAATTTGTTTTGAAATATCTTTTTTTCTATTTGAAGTCGGTTTTTGTTAATGCAGGTTTTTTATTTATTGCTGAGATGTGTGGACGACCTCACAGTCCACTTGGTGTTAAGTGGTTACTGGAGCCCATAGACATTTACAACGTAAATGCGCCACCCACCTTGAGATATAAGTTCTAAGGTCTCAGTATAGTTACAACGGCTGCGCCGCCCTTCAAGCCGACACGCATTACTTCTTCACGGCAGAAATAGGCGGGGTGGAGGTACCTGCCCGTGCGGACTCACATGAGGTCCTACCACCAGTAATTACGCAAATTATAATTTTGCGAGTTTTTTTTTATTTTTATTACATGATGTTATTCCTTCACCGTGGAAGTCAATCGTGAACATTTCTCGAGCATATATTTCATTAGAAATATTGGTACCCGCCATGATTCGAACACAACGCGCGACGGCTTGGAAATAGTAATAGCTTGAATTAAAATCCAAATATTTCGTGTCTCCTTATAAATATTATTTTTGTAATTGATGCGGTGTGAGTGGTTTGTATCACGTTCTATAAAATACCTGCTTCTGATTTTGCATCTCTCTCTCTCTCTCTCTCTCTCTCTCTACACAATGATATTGCCTGAATTTAAGACCCAAATATAAGATCCGGTAAGGCTTGCAAGGCGTTGCTTTATTAAGTAAGGAAGGGTAGCTATCCCGTCGAGGAGTACGATAGCTTTGAATTTGATTTTTGTTTCGTTATCTGATGCTGAAATGATCACACAGAAGCTTAATAGATGCGTCCACATCGTGCCTAATATTCTTGATTTAATTGAAGTCAATATGCCAATCTGACTGCCAACCGAACTAACCCATTGAGTTTGTTAATCATATACGTAATAAAGGCAGTGTAGTTTCTTCTTTATATACCTATTACAAATGACCCTGCCATTGTTTTTATATCTTACTAGCGGCCCGTTCCGGCTCCGCTCGGGTCTTTAACAAAAATTTCAACGATATTTGACGTTGTTTTATTTTTTTTAAACAAAAGAACATTTATTGCGTCGTAACTATAATAGTTAGACATATGCTGTGGCGACACTTTTTGTAAATAAAATGTTCTACGAAGTCATCTACTTATATCTCGAGGTGGGTGGCGCACTTACGTTGTAGATGTCTATGGGCTCCAGTAACCACTTAACACCAGGTGGGCTGTGAGCTCGTCCATCCATCTAAGCAATAAAAAAAAATCATAGTACATTATTATATATCCTCAATAGTTTTCGCAGGGCACGCGAAAAAGAATATTTTAGGTAATTTTTTTACACCTTGAGTTACATTATTGCAGTTATAGCCTATGTCACTCGAGGATAGTGTAACTTCCAAACAGTGAAAGAATTTTTCAAATCGGCTCAGTAGTTTCGGAGTCTATTCAATACAAACAAACAAACAAATCTTTCCTCTTTATAATATTAGTACCTATAGAAGTATAGATTAGTATAGATGAATGATATCACAAAAAATATTTTTACGCATCCCCTGAGCAAGGTTGAGGTCCGTTTTGAGTACGATCATATGTGTGCTCGAGTATGAATTTAAAACAAACACAAGACGGGCGGAGTCGCGCGACCAAACTCGTCGTATAATAAAACAGAGTGTCGATATATTCCGGCGCGGTACAGTCGAGCGCACAAGTCATTGTGTACAACTCAATTAGGAAGTCGAGTCAGTGACGTGCGCGAATTTAATGGCCGTGCTCATTGTTTTTTTCGAAAGTGGGGGGAGGGAGAGGGGCAGGGGGGAGTCGTGAGAGCCGCGATACTAGACTTTAATTCTTGCGGTGTTTATGTTTTTAAATACTATTCTAAAATGCTTTATTTTATTTTTATTTTTTTAAGCTATTGCATAGCTTTTATCGCGGGCCTTGAGCGCGGCGACCGAATCATGAAATTCCGTAACGAAAAAAACCTTACACCCTACCATTTAGCTCGCGTTCAACATATTCACACGTTGCGCTTGTGTAGTGTTTGTGAATAAGCGCGTGGCGTGACGTCACACTGCATGCGCATCATAAAAAGTTTGCCCATCTCTCTCTCGCGCGGTCTAGCTTATGAGTGTGAAGAGGGCCAGTTAAGGGGTTTAGCTTTTAATAATGTTTAATATAGCGTGGTCTTGTTTTATTATTGTTTTAATATTAAATTATCATTGTCTAATTGCAATAGCTTTACCGCGGCAGTTCCCGAGTGCCACACGTTTTTATTTATTTATTTATTAGGCTCACAATACACATTACAAGCTAAAAAGATACATAAAAACACAAGTAAAAAGAAACAAAATCTGGCTTGCAACATAAGTTATGTGCGCACGACAAAACAAGACATATAGTGCTGAATTTGTATAACAACGTTCCTTACGATTATACGACATAACAACACGACAACGAAAACTAATCTAACTTATAATGTAAGGAAATAATTTTATTCACAATATAAAATTAAACAATAAAACAATTACACTACTAACCTGGAGTTGTGTGTGTATTACTAACGTGGAGTGTATTACTAACGTGGAGGATGCCCTTGATCATTTTTATAAACGTAACTAACCTACAAGTAAAAATATCTAACTCCGTTGACGACCTTGCCAGTTCGTTAATGTTATTGAAGAAATGAGTGAGCGAAGGATTTACTGGTGGTAGGACCTCTTGTGAGTCCGCGCGGGTAGGTACCACCACCCTGCCTATTTCCGCCGTGAAGCAGTAATGCGTTTCGGTTTGAAGGGTAGGGCAGCCGTTGTAACTATACTTGAGACCTTAGAACTTATATCTCAAGGTGGGTGGCGCATTTACGTTGTAGATGTCTATGGGCTCCAGTGACCACTTAACATCAGGTGGGCTGTGAGTTCGTCCACCCATCTAAGCAATAAAAAAAAGAAGGAATGGTAAGTATATGATAGAGGAGTATGGAAGGAGAAAACATGTTGCGCTCACCCCAAGTGACTGGGAGAAGGGCGGGAGAGTGATGATTGTTATTGAGGTTTTTTTATTTGAAATGATCGTTATGTTGTTTTATTTTTAATATTTTCTGTCAAATCTGTTGAGACTCTGGAGGAGTAATATCAACCCGTGTAGGCATGGGAAGCAACAGCGAAGAGTAATGTTTGGTCGTAACGAAGCCAAATATCGTTGTTATAACTAATTTATGTGCTTTCACTATGGATATAAGGCCAATGAGTTTCTCATCGGATCTTCTCAGTGGGTCGCGTTTCTGATTCGGTGGTAGATTCTGCCAAGCACTGCTCTTGCTAGGGCCAGTATTAGCAACAATTTCGGTTTGAGCCCCGATAGCTCACCTACACGTTAAGGCGAAACTGATATAGTCTCTCCAGGCTATCAGCATAGGTAGGAAGTAAGTAAATACTAGATATAAGCACAATGCAACCTCTTACAAACATGATGAGGATATAAAAAAAAAGTGCTTGCGATTCAGAATAAGAGTTATTTTGGGAGGAATATAGCCTCAAGACATTTACTTTTCCGAAGCAAATAGTAGTGTTACTAATAAGACGCAAATAACTTTGTCGGTTTATTACGTTATCAAGCCCGTACTACTGAACCGACTGAGGAAATACGATATGGATAAGTCAGTCACCGTCGACGCCCAAGACACGTCGACGGATCCATCAGATCCAATAACCTTTGCATTAGACGCCTTCAGCTCTAACACTAGGAGCAGGCTAAGGGACCCCGGTAACCGTACTCGTCGAACTCGACAAAGAGTTCGACGTGCAATCTAACCCATGCATCAGCTCGCTGAGTTTCTCGCCGGACCTTCTCAGCGGGTCGCGATTCCGATCCGGTAGTAGATTCATTCGCGAAGCAGCTACTCTTGAGCTGTTAGGTCTCCTTCGGAGGCGCTCGGGCAGTTGTTAGCAAATCCCACCCCTCCTGGCTGAGCCTATGCTCGCCCACTTGTCCTGGTGAAACTGGAAGGGCCTTCGGGCCACCAGTAATATTTCAATCATAAAAAAAAAACGATATGAAAATATGTTAGTACTCAGAGGTACTTTAACTCAGTGCACGGATTCCCGCCTACACGAAGGATGCTGCGGGCGGAAAGCGACTTAACAATTATAGTTGAACCAGATGTCCATTAAAATGTATAATAAAACATGCATCCCTTTCATACGCATACACAAAAAAGTATATCTCCATCTCGTTCCCTCCGGCCAAATTAAAAATAGCCAGTATTTCCTTTCTTGTTAGTTTTAAAAATACAGAAAAAAAATGGTTTTATTTGATTCGGGTTCAAAGCGAGGGCGTCTTTGTTCGCCCATTCAAAAGAACCACAACATTTTTTAATTCTCCTTTTTGCGTGCGTTTTTTTATTAAAACGATTTACATTGAGCATTGTGTTAGCAAAAACTGTTTGATTCATCTCACTGAGCCGTCAATGTAAAGGTCTCAATTACATTTTAATGTAAAATAATCGGTGCCTTGGTGTGCATTTAATGGAAATTTGAGCACAATAGTTCTGTATTGATAAATTTATTTTACAATAGTGTAATTGTTTGTTTAGTTATTCTCTGAATCGGTTGTTGATTTAGTTCAATATTTCAAATGATATTGGCTAAAATATATCCCTTTGATTGCCGATCCCTTATTGATATAGAGAACATTATTTATGTTCACCGACAGGTCGGCATTACTCTTGAATGTACGGTAATTTACGGCAGGCAGCGGCTTGGGCCTGCCCCTGGCATTGCTGAAGTCCATGGGCGACGGTAACCACTCACCATCAGGTGGGCCGTATGCTTGTCTGTCTACAGGGGCAATAAAAAAAACCCAGATGGCATTGCATTTATGTATATATGTAACATACAATAATATTTATTTCAAGCAAATTTCTAACTAACAATTTTCTGTCTCTTGTTAACAGTTCAGAAGCGCGCTCGCATCACCGAGGTTTGTTCCACCAGTCCATCTCCTATCAACGAACAACCCAGGGATCCGAAGACTCCAGCGCCGACGCCGCCGCTAGCCACACCCCCGCCCCGCTCTCCTTCTGACCACGAACTAAACGTGGAGGAGGAGCTAGAAGAATCAGAACCATCTCTCACTCCCGAAAACCTGTCCATGAAGGAGTCTCGCGAAGAGATGCCTGTCAAAAAAGAAGAAGAAAAATGGGAGAATAACGAGTTTAAATACAAAATGTTTAGACGTAAAGATCTCCCCGAGCCCGCCCACGAGGAGAGTCAGTATCAGAAATCTCCAGTGGACGTGCTATTGAAAGTGTTCCCGCGACGCAGCCGGCAAGAGATCGAGGCTATCCTGGCGCGGTGCAAGGGAGACGTCGTAGCGGCCATGGACTCCATGGTGAACGGGCCGGAACCCAATCCTTACCACGTGACGCAGGAATCTCCACCTTACCTCCAAAATTACCAGTCGAAATCAGCGTTTTCTCCTCTATCGAACCAGAGTTTCAAGTTCTCCCCGTCACGGCGGTTTCTGACTCCACCTTACAGCGGGACGGGGTATTTGCCCACTGTAATCCGGCCGCCACCGGAGTACCTTTCATCATTTATGCCACCTTCAGAGCTGATGTACGGGAGGCAGCTTCAGGTACCATCGCCGGGAACCTCTCCCACTTCTGATAACACGAACAACGATGGCTTTTCTGATTAAAGTCCAAATTTCAAGACTAGACGAAGCTTTTGAATACTAAGGATGTTCTGGTTGATGCATCAGAAATTGAAGAAATAAAAAAAAGTCGGTTGTCTGTAAAGTCGGTTTACTGACGATAGTTGAACGTGACAACGTCATAAGAAAATACTGATGGAATGGTTTCATTTTTCAATTATCGCAATTATCGTTGCTATAAACAATTGACACCACATTCACTTTTCACTGAACTTCATACTTGACGAAAACATGTAAATTTATTATTGTATAGCAGCTGTCCACGCGGATGCATCGCTCACTCAAGTAGGAGAGAGACAGATGTCAAACGCTGCCGAACGCGGAGGCCGATTATGCCTCTTTGTCGCTCGTTGCGCGCTCTCGCTTGCACTTCAAGCCTTAAATGGAACCCCTCAGAGCGAGGTAACGCCGCATGAGTTATGTTTTTTCGTGCGTGCAGCCGGCTCCATCGAATTATAAGACGTTGTCACGTCAATATGGCTTCGAAACTAAAATGGATGCATTTAGTGTCACCGTAACTGACTACAATTGTTCTCCTAACGTCTAAGTGTCTTAATTAAGATTTTAAAGTTGCCCGGCGATGTCAAGCGTGGTTAATCAGAAGTTAGTAACTGGATTCTGGGGGAAGATTCCCTACAAAATGTAGAATTAGCGCTCTGCGGTTGGTTGAGTGAAACAAGAAGTAAGGACAGTCATGTTGCATTGTATAGTTGTAGTAAGGTAGAAAGGCAGGGATCTCTCTGGGATCAGCGCAGGATCGGCGGACCCAGAGGTGCTGGACACCTTCATGGTGGTGGCTTCAAGATACCTCAAGGGAGCTGCTAACACTGACGCTTATGTTACGATCAATCTTAGGCCACTCAATACATATGGTACTGTATCATCAATGGCGGATCCAGGGGGGGTCATGGGGGTCATCACCCCCCCTGAGCTGGTTCCAGGACTTGGGTGGACCACTAATTGAACATAATGATTTTATTTATATATTTTGTGATTTTATGTAACTACATACCTTCAATATTTAAATAAGTAATAATATTTAAATAAATATACCTACATTACTTTTTACTTGTGTCTATTGTTATCAAAATTAAATTATAAGTTCTTGACTTGACCAGGACTATTTTGACCCCCTCCTGGCACCAAAGCTGGATCCGCCCTTGTGTATCACTAACGTTCATTCAAAAGTATATGAGGACGTGTCGCGTGATTTGACCAAACTAGACCCAATTGAGGGGAGGGGATAGATTCGTGTTTCACCATCAGAACGTACTCGATGGGAACCCGTACTTGTGTAAGTAAATGTGTTCATGAGTCATAAAGAAATTGCTAGAAATTCAGATTACGTCACCGTTGTCAATGACATTGACTTGGTTATTGCCGGTGTGAGTTTTTAAAACAAACCTTTCGCTGCTTGATCTCGCGTTGCACTTGTTGTAGCTAGCATTCGTTGAGAGCTCGGATTGCGACCAGAGCCATTGACGCTTCAAGATATCGATTCATTCTATGTGCTCTTGTAAAGATGGATCTTCTTATTTATTTATACTGTAATACTCAAGCTTGTCTTTAATGGTCAATGAACAAACAAAAATCTGTTTACGAACAGAAGAGACAACTACTGTTTTCCTCTTTATATATTATTATATCGTCTTCTCGCATTAAAACTGTATAATCTCAAAACTTACTAATTTTACAGGAGAGTGTTTTAAAGTTAACTTGTGATATTTTTAATATTATTCATCATTGCAACATTTGTTTTTTTACCAGTTACGTTATCTGTCTTTTAAAGTAAGATAAAACTATGTATTAATTTTGTTAATAGTAGTCAAAACATAAGTAAACTAAAAAAAAAAGATTAAAACTAAACTACGCTCTTTTGACAGTATTTATGAGAAAAATAATTGTGATACCAAACGATTCCGCGTATTAACTCAATTTCGAATATTTTTGGAAATTGTAAACTTTTAATGCGAAAAGACGACATGTCGGAGAAGCTACAATTATTAACACCATCGTCAGACATTGTAGGGGCGAATAGGGAGATCGAGCTGAGAGAAATATTGAGTACACCAATCGCATTTAGAAATCTTCTCTTGACGTTAGCAAACGGAAACGAATGACAGTTCTTAGGACGGAAGCACCGCTCTTCAAGAAGGCTGGTTGGTAAGTGTAATGGCGTCTACGCGCCTGCATCGGCTAGGTTCTGTCGTAGCACGAAGTTTTTTTGTTTTTTTGTTGTTGCTTAGATGGGTGGACGAGCTCACAGCCCACCTGGTGTTAAGTGGTTACTGGAGCCCATGGACATATACAAGGGAAATGAGCCACCCACCTTGAGATATAAGTTCTAAGATCTCAGTATAGTTACAACGGCTGCCCCGCCCTTCAAACCGAAACGCATTACTGCTTCACGGCAGAAATAGGCAGGGCGGTGGTACCTACCCGCGTGGACTCACAAGAGGTCCTACCGCCAGTTTACCACAAGTTAGCCGAGTTCCGACGACGCGCGATCGTGCTGCCATCTCTCGGGAATCGTGCTGCGTTACGTTTAGCTACCAAACTAATGATCGTCTCTGACATATCTCTCATATAAATTTCAATGCTTCAAAAACTTTATGTTGTAATAGAAGATTGGTCCGATCTTTGTAATTAAAATGGCCGTTAACTTCCAAAAACGCGGCAAAACGCTTTTTCTTTACGTGTGACGTCATTTGAGGCTAATCAACGAGTTAACTATAAATTAGTGACGAACTCAATGTCGACATTTAACTTGCGGCCCTCAAGCATGGTGGAAAGTTTATATCATTTTAATTTTTTATACAATTCGCGATTATTGAAGAACATAGTATGGTAGGTATATTATAGTGTTGTTAGTAAAATCCATAGAGCTATATACGACTCACGTACATTTTGTCAAAATAAGTCGATCCTGACTAATGTAAATAATATTTGAAATGTGAAATTAGCATTGTTAATGACATAGTTTAGTAAAGAATCATAAATATAAGTCATTATATTGAATGTAGGCTAGTTAGTGGCTCTATCTTCACTCGTTTAGGGTTTTTTTTGTAAATAACTTTTAATTCTAATAGATATTTATATTTGACTTATTAGATGTTTAAAAATTAATGTAAATTGTAATAATTATATCATGAAATATAATTGATATGAACGATTACGAGTTTTACTTACCTTTCGTGGAGATATCCTCAACCTCAATATTGAGGTTGGTGTTTCAGAACATGGACAAGCCTACTGTCTGAAGCTGTCTCTCCTACTCAGGAGCACTCCAAGGCGGGGCGCTCTTCCGCATAGAATCCAACATGGCGTGTAAGAAGCATTAAATATTTACATAACATAAACTATTAACAAAAAAAAAACATATCGACTTCAACAAAATAAAAAGAGAATTTTATTGCAAATTGATTATTGAAGATAACTCAAAAGCTACTACTGATAACAAAAAGCAACCGCTTTCAATTTAAAAAGAATTACAAAATTGGTTCAACTAGGTACAAAAAAAAAAAAATTGCTTAGATGGGTGGACGAGCTCACAGCCCATCTGGTGTTAAGCGGTTACTGGGGCCCATAGACATCTACAATGTAAATGCGTCCCCCATCTTGAGATATAGGTTCTAAGGTCTCAGTATAGTTATAACGGTTGCCCCACACTTCAAACCGAAACGTGTTACTGCTTCACGGCAGAAATAGGCGAGGCGGTGGTACCTACCCGCGCGGACTCACAAGGGGTCCTACCACCAGTAATTACGCAAATTATAATTTGGTGGGTTTGATTTTTATTACACGATGTTATTCCTTCACCGTGGAAGTCAACCGTGAACATTGGTTGAGTACGTATTTCATTAGAAAAATTGGTACCCGCCTGCGCGATTTGAACACCGTCGTTGACTCTTATCCTTTATGCATGACGTGGCACATTTACGACGTAGATGTCTATGGGCTCCAGTAACCACTTAACACCAATTGGGCTATGAGCTCGTCCCCCCATAGAAGCAATAAAAAAAATTAAAAAACTTTGTGATTCTCTTCTTTAACCCGCGTCCAACCAATACTGAATGTAGGTCTCAATGCACCCCATTCTTTCCCAACCTTGGCAAAACCCTAAAAACCTTGAGATTAGGTCGTACGTTGACTGCATTGTGTATTGGTTCTTACACCTTTCAAGCCCGAATGTCTGATTGCTTCACAACAGAAAAAGTGAGTTGTACTTCCACCAGTAAATGTCGTTTGCCGATATAATTCTAAGAGAGCGCTGCGGTCCATTCGCCAGTAAGTCTCTTCGTCGTCTGTACAACACCCAACGCAAGAGATAGGGTGGTGTCATTCTACACACGACACCACACAGCCAATATACTCCTAATATATCTTACTTTGTTTCACATCTTTGAACGTGGCGAAAAAATGGGTATTTTGAAGGTTTAATTAATTTACTAGATGATGTTTTTTTTTTGATAAAGCCATCTTGTTGTGTCTTTAAAGCGGTTAGTTGCCCTCAATTAAGAAAAATAGTATTATTATTCGCCAATAGATGTCGGGATGAGTTAATTGTTGAAAACACGAATAAAACAACATTTCATGAAAATAAATCGTAGCTGGATCGATTTATCGCCCCCGAAATCCCCTGTATACTAAATTTTATGAAAATCGTTGGAGCCGTTTCCGAGATTCAGATTATATATATCAACAAGAATTGCTCGTTTAAAGGTATAGGTAAGGATAAAAGAACACAAAACTTAGTCTACAACAGACTACACTTACTAGACTTACTAACAGAGTCTACATTACTGCTGTATTTTCTTACTAATTACAAAGAAATCACATCAAAATCACCGTAAATAGTTTTGGTTACATAAACTCCGGCTAAAATATTTCTTGGTATTATTAATTTAGAAAGCCTAATGCTTTGATAGGCTGTTAGATTTTAATGGATAAATAACAGAAAGAAAAACGCCTCTACGAATAACCTC